ACATGCAATAGGCTAGGATTAACTCCCACCGAATGAGGTGGTGTAGGATTCTTAATGTAATGACAGTACTATCATTTCGTAAATAAAGTCTCGCATTTTATGCTTATTTGCAGTAAAAAAAAAAAAATGTTTTTAAATGTTTTAATATGTTTTTATTAAAATTTGCAATTATGTATGCTTTTGAATAATAATAAAATTATAGTTTTAAAACATAAAATAAATAAATTAAAAATAATTATGATTTATGGCCAGGCACTATAATTAAATTACAAAAAGTATAAAACATAAGTTAATTTGTAAGAAATATATAAAGATTAATTTATATAAAACCATAAAATATATGTAATTGGATATAAATTATTCAATAAAAACAGTACATTATAGTATCTTTTATATTAAATAATAATAATTAAGTTTATTAATATAAAATAAATTCTTGAATAAAAAAATAATATGTAATTCCAATATTTTTAATTATAAAAGACAAAAAAAACATGTATAACATAAAATATAATATTTTTAAATCAATGTTTCTATAACTATTTATAAAATTTTTTAAATATTTATATTAGATCTAGGTAATAATTTCAAATTATGTATAAAAAATCTATTTGTTAATTCTTTTTTCAAAAAAATATCTTAATACAAGCAATTATTCATAGCACTTAAATATATAATAATAAAAGATGAAATTTATTGATATGATTAATAATTTTCCAATTAATTAATCATGTTTTCTTTAAGCCTTACCGATAGAAATTCAATCACAATTTTAGATTATTTGTGATTATTTGCTGGTTACAACTACTCTGTTATTATTAGTCTCAATTATGTTAAATTAAAAATTAACAGCGTATTAACCTGCATATACATAATCACAAGATATCAAATAGGTGCACATTATTGAATGTTTTCTTTACGATAGACCTTTAACCATATACAATACTTGCATTCTTCCTGGCTGATGTACACATCGATTATATCAATTCTCTCAAGGAAGTTACATTTCTTTTATTATTGATCATTTTCAAATTTAAATTCGCAATACATAATATACAAATATACTATGTTTCCATTGTATGAGAAATGGAACAAGATGTAAAGATTTTAAGAGCCAGGCAGAAAATAAAAAAAATTGCATTTAAAAAAAGGAAAAAAAGTACTTTTTTTTTTTTTTTTTGAGGTAAAGAAACCGATTATGTACAATTATATTCCTACCTCGCCTTTAAAATCTTAATCAAGAGAAAAATAATTATTCTTTAATCTTCAAATTTGATCTTTTTAGGTTTTAAGTTAGGATCGATTTCCCTGTAGAAAGCTCCATAAACTTTATGTTCTTTCTTTTTAACACCACCTCCAAATTTAAGTAATGAATCAGGCACATTTTGGTTAGCCTGACGTAAGACATTGATAAGTTCACCCGAGTGAATTCTATCGTGCGAAGTGAAGAATGTATGTGAAACCCCCTAAAAGTTGATTTTCTTAATAAAGACTTCAAATATATCCCTTGTATTAAAGAAAATATTACACATTTTACCTTGTTTCCAGCACGTCCAGTCCTACCAATACGATGTACATAATCTTCTATGGTCAAAGGGAATGAATAGTTGATTACATATTCCACATCAGGAATATCCAGTCCTCTAGCCGCAACATCTGTGGCAATCAGAAGTGGATAGATTCCATCTTTGAAAGCCTTTAAAGCTTCTGAACGTTGAAACTGACTTTTGTCACCATGAATAGAGAGCGCCTCGTATCCTTTGCTTGCTAGCATGTTTTCGACACGAGAAGCCTCTTTCTTGTAAAGAACAAACACCAACACTCGATTCCTTCGATTATGATATTTTTCTAAAAGGGAGACGAGCAGCTTGTCTCTGTCCTTGTCTTCGACCACTTCAACTATCTGGGTTACATTATTATTGGCAGATAGCTCTTTTGAACCGATAGTAATTCTGACGGGACGATTCAAATAATCGTTTGCTAGTTTACGAATCGATTCCGGCCAAGTTGCGGAGAACATAGCCGTTTGACGATCCTTGCGTGTCTTGCGTATGATTTTACGTATGTCATCCTCAAAACCTTTGTCAAGCATACGGTCAGCTTAAAGGAAAGTAGCGTTAACGTTGAGTTAAAGAGAGAAGATATCAAAGTAGATCACAAACCGAGAATTTACCTTCATCTAGAACAAGATAAGAAACTTTGCTAATATCACAAATGTTTTCGTTAACAAGGTCGAGTAACCTGCCGGGAGTAGCCACAACTATATGGACACCTTTACGCAATGATTTACGTTGATCCTCCTTGGACACTCCACCATAAATGCACGCGCTCTTAATTCCGCATGTGACATCAAATAAAGAACATTGTTCTTGTATTTGCATAGCCAATTCACGCGTTGGTGAAACAACAAGAACACTTGGTTTATTACTAGGATAGGTCTCACTATTTATGCTTTTGATATGCACAATAGCTGGAACGACGAAAGCTAAAGTTTTTCCCGAACTATGAATGTAATGAAGGTAGAAAACTTAGAATCGGAAAGACATACGACGGTCACATTGTATGACATTAATGTAATAAATACCCGGTCTCGGCAATACCGATCACATCTTTTCCACTCAAACTAATTGGCCAACAGGTTGCTTGAATTGGTGTCGGTTTCTCGAATTTTGACAAGACACGCTTGATATCCTTGTCTACGGATAATTCTGAAAACGATGTGATTGGTTTAAAGTCCTGATTCCCGATGATTTGAATAGAGTTACACTCAAGAAATTTGGTGACTTCTGATTGTTCGTTGTATCGTTCATTGTTATCTATGACAACAATAGGTACCAAGTTCTGTGGTATTCCTTCAGGTTCTTCTTCACTGTCGCTATTTTCAGTGGTGCTACTCACGTCAGTCAAGCTGCTGTCACTATCCTCGTCCGAACTCAGAATCTGCTTTCTCTTCGATTGTTTTTTCGTGGAAGAATTTTCTATTTTGCTTTTTGAATCTTTGATGTTTTTCTTGCCAAGACCATTGTTATAACCTTTATCCTCTTTTTTTCGAACCTTCGTTTCCCTCTCGTCCTGATCTTTCTCCTTCTTTTCTTTCTTATTGCTCCTTTCTTCGCGTAATCCATTTACCTTGTTTCTCTTACTTTGCTTTTCGGCCGCGTTGGAATCGCTGCTGCTGCTGGAATCGCTAGAACTAATAATTTTATTTTTTCTATTTTTAGCTCTAGTTATCTCGGTCGCGGGTGGAAGGTAATCCTCGTCTTCGTCAACCCATTTTCGTTTTTTCTCCTCGATTTTTTTAGGCGGTTTACTATCCGTCCGGACGTCTGCGGTTTTATGAGGCGATTTCGATTTTTTCTTGTCTGACTTTTTATTAGATTTGTCATCCAAATTTTTTTTTTCTTTAAGTGTGGCCTTCAAATTTGCCTCAGCTACCAATTTTTCAAGTTTAGCCTTTCTTTCGGCTTTTTTGTCACCTTTACTTGTGGTTTTTATTTTATCTTTACCTGATGGTTCCATCGTAATTTTCATCACAGAAAAATGTCCGTATAAAAGAAATGCCTTTGTCCAATTCCACAAAAAATTAAAGCTTGTGGTAATTGAAAAGTAAAGAGTTGGAATTCTATAAAAAAAATTTCTTTGATTCACTTTATTTACTTATTATTATTACTTAGGATCATAGATCCTGTGAATTAACTATTATAGAAAATCACAAGCCTTTTATTTAATCTTTTGATAGTAACGGTACCATTTTCAAGTTTACAAACGTCAGTTAAACAATTGTAAAAAAAATTTTATATATGTTCATGCTATTGGTGCTTTTGTGGTGCACAAAATAATATGAAACTTGGCAACTTTATTCACTATGGTTTTTGAGTTAAAGGAGTTTGAAAACGTAATAACTTTTTGTGATAATATCACGTGATAAAGTCAATGTTTTTTTAAAAGAGTATCAATGTTTATTTTGTCATTCTTTCCGTTTATGTACCATATTTGTATGCGTTATAGGTAATATTACTAGCTGTACATTTACTTATTTCACTATAATGTAATACAATAGCATAATAATTGATTTTTTTTTTTTTACTTCTAATTAAAATGCATTTATTAAAATAACAGTTACAGGATATTTCCTCTTAACCAAGACTAAAATGCCATTTTTATAATACAATTTATATTGTGTGTAACGACAGTAGGATCAAAATGTCCCATGACTGATAACATAATTAATTAATAAATTATAATAAACTGTAAGCAATAATAAATAAATAGATTATATTCAAAATTATATTTAAAAATATTAATTAATTAATTATAAATTATTAAATATATAAAAATAAAAATATTTATATTTATCTATTTTTAATATAATAGTATAATTCATTTTTAAAAAATTAAAGTTAAAAAATAATTAAATAATAATAAATAAAATTGAAATTATAAATTAATAAAAAATTTTTATTTGTTTTTTATTTTATTTTATAAATTTTTATTATAATTTTAAACTTAAATAAACAAAATTACAATTTGTTTAAAATAATATATATATATATATATAGAGACCTCCCTAAATGCACCCTCTATAAATGCACTTATTATATTTTTTCTCTCTAAATGCATGGTCAAGCTTGGTTCCAAGTACATAGAACTCTTAATAAAATTATCTCCATAAATGCACACCCTCTATAAATACACATTTTTCAAAAATTTTCTTATGGTCCCAAAGGTATACATTTAAAGAGGGTTCACTATATATTTATTTATTTAAAGATAGATTTTTAAATTAAAGGTAAGAATATAATTTAAATATTTTTTATTATTAAAAAAGTTTTTTTTTTAAAAATATAAAATAAAAAAAAAACTACTTATAATAATTTTTTATAATTTGGACTATTTAATCCAAATGTTTTTAAATTATTTTTCTATTAAATAATGAATAAATAATTATATTCTTCATAAAAAATATAATTAATCTGTGAAATTTTATATATTAAATAATTTAGAAATCTATTTTTATATACAGAGTATTAAAAAAAAAATTGCAATTATATTTTTATTTATAACTTAATAAAGAATTGATAAAAATTGTTAAAAATTGTTAAATATATGGTTAAATACTATATAAACAACTTTACTTAATACTATTTTAATTAATATAATAATATATTTTTTGAAAATAATTGAATTTTTATAATAAAAAATCTATAATAAAAAATTTTATTCATTTTTATATATAAAAAATGTGGTTGGAAATAGGCAAAAAAATTTTTTGTTTTTTTTAAAAATTTTTATAAAAATGTAAAAATATTATATAAATATTTATGATCATTTTTAATATATATATATATAATTTTTAAATAAATTATTTAATTAAAATTAATTTTTTTAAAAAATTTTTGTAATCTTATTTTTGAATCCAATTTTTTATGAACATCTTTAACTTTTAAACAAAATATATCAAAAAGTCAATAATATTATTTTAAAATTATTTAATTGATTTTTTTTATTATATCTTTAAAATATATTAATAAAATATTAAAATATAAAAACAATTATTTATTGAGTTATTTATTAAAATATAATTATAAAAAAATTGCCATTTTTTTTAACATACTGTATATATATATTGTTATTATTATTAGCAAGTCTGTTGCCAAAACAATATACTCTTTACATAATAATAATTTGAATACTTGAATTTCAATATTAAATAAAATAAGGCTTTAACTCTAAAATAAATTAATATTTTATCAACTTTTGCACTTGTTAATTTCTTTTTGATCATCACTTTCTCTTTAGATACTGTATATCTTAAATTTACAAATATCTTTATTCACAGATCAAAAAGTCAATTAGTTTTTTTTCTTCTTAAAAACATTTACTTTTATATAGTGACATAAACTTAATATATACTTTAAAAAATATATATTGTTTATTATATAAAGTAAAATAACATTTATTTAATAAAGCATAAGTATGCAAAACAAAATAAGTATTTTAAAATAAACCTCTAAATCTTTTATTTAGAACTTTCAAACTTTTCTCTTCTTAAAGTTATATAAACTATTCTATCTATATGTCTCCTTAATATGTATTTATTTAGTATATACTATTATCAATTATTATATCATTTCATTATTATCAATACTATTGTTATATGATATATTACAATATTATATTTTTATTTCTATTATTTCTAAAACAATATGTATAATGAAAAAATAAAAAATAAATTAATTGCAAGTCTTAATTGAAAAATTATCAATTTATATTTTTTAATATATATTATATTGTTAAAGTGAAAAATAAACTATATAAATAATGAGAAAAATAAAAGTAAAATGAAATAGAATATAAAAAGTAATATGATAGATATGCAAAAGATATCTAGTATTTCTAGTATATTCTAGTATCTTTAAATATCTAGCAGGTATAACAAGTAATTATCAAGTACAATATAGACAACAAGTATAAAGTTGGATAATAAGTCCAAAGCTGGCTAAATTATATTAGGCATAAAAAAGTATAAAAATAAGATGACGATATAAAAATATGGTAATAAAGGAGGATAGGCACTGCATACTAAAAAGGCTATCTATCTTGAGAGTGTCACTAAACAAAGGAGTGACCACGCAGAAGGTTGGCAGTTATGATGTATGATCAACAGATCAACCTGCGTCATTGTTAAACTCGAGCCAAATATACACGTCTCTTTTGAGAAAAAACCATTCTCCAACATAGTACAGCATAAACAAAACAGAAGTGACAGACTCGCCATATTTCATCATAACAATATCAACATATTAACAATATTAACATATCAATATATCAATAATACAATTACATTAACAATACAAACAAGTTCACATCACTATTATATCAACATATCAATAATATAAATACATCAATATCTTTTTAACAATAGACACATCAATAATTTACCAACAATACAAACATATTAGCAATTCATTATCATTTAAACATATTAACAATCTAATATTATTATAGACATGTCAACAATCTAATATACTGTATACATGTGGCAGAAATTATTGAATTGAGTCAGGCATAATTAAAAATCAAGAATTTAGTAATTGAGTCAAATGAATTTTTTTATAGTTAACACAATTAATACAATTGTGATGCAATGCCATAATTGTACCACAATTATTTAATATGATGTAATTATATGATTTCATTGCAATTATATAATTTGATACAATTATTTTAATATAACGCAATTATATGATTTTGCTACAATTATTTTTAATTATGATACAATTACATGATTTGCTGTAATTATGCCACAATGTTACAATTGTGACACAATGCCAAAATAGTGACGCAATTTTGATTGGTTAATAAATTTAATTTATAAAAATATATATATATATATTATTTTTAATTGTTTACAATTAATATCTTCATAATCAGTAATTTAATTTGAACAAAAATTATACTATTCAAAAGCTCTCAATAAGAGGAATTTAATAATAAAATTTTTGTTTAAATTAGATTATTCATTACAAAGATATCAATTATAAACAACTAAAAATATAAGATATTATATATAATTTTAATAATTTATAATTAATATCTTCAGTTGCTAAAGACTTCTATATATCTCAAGAAAATATACAACTAACCTAACATGAAATGACAGAAAAATTCTGTGCAGTATGTATCAGCACAGATCACCTTGTTAAAGATTATAAAGAGTAGATTACATGAGAAGAAAGACTCAAAACCAGACAAATTAATATCAAAAAATACTAACAGCTGTATACAAGATACAAGCCAGCAGATGTATTAACTACCCAAAAATTTCTCAACAATACCAAACACTTTTAACAAAAATCCTTCATACAAGCAGTTAATAACACTCAGACACAAATCAAAAACAACCTCACAAATCAATACACAAATCCAGTAGCACACATTAATACCCAAGACACAAATATACCCCTCAATACAATTCTTCAAGCAATTCATCAACTTTGGAGAAGAAATTAAAGCAATCAAATTTACCCTTATTGACATGGATAACAGACTTAGCCATATTGAAGAAGACACTTACTGGACTTATATCTTACAAAATAAACAAGATGCAGAGTTTATCGAATATGAAATAAATCGTAATACAATACCTAAACCTCAAATCACAATAGCAGAAGACATATTTTCCAATTATTACAGGAAAAGGCTAGCAACAAGCCCAGTTCAAGACTTGCAAAAAGAACAACAATTACATTCAAGAATTGCAGCAATGAGCAATACCCTTTAACAAATTTCAATATTCTTCAATCAATCACCTGAAGACAATAATATACAATCATAATCATCACAAGATTCCAACCACACCACCCAATAAACATATTTCCTATAACTATGCAATATGACACATCAGCAAAATTTTTTCAAATATAACATAACCAAAACAACTCAATTCTATCTTGACATATAACTATTACTATACATGTTGCTGAAATTTATAGATCCTTAATGCAATTGATGCAATT